CACAAGGGCCGCAAAGCTCTCCCTCAAGAGTTTTAACACTGCTGCATTCCCAGGGCTCGAACACGAGACCACTGGTTAAGTTGGAAGAGACCCAAGTCATCTCATTCAAGCGCTCTTGAGTAGAACATTTTCAATAGAGGGCTTTTTGTTTTTATTTTTATTTTTATTTTTGTGAGGTTTTTCGTCCCAAAAATTTCACAATACATATATATATATATATATATATATATATATATATATATATTCGCAATGGCACAATATATATTAATAAAACATTTATTTACAAGTGGTTAACTATCCGAATGAATCAACAAAAAACTAAATTCAGAAAGGCATACAAAACAATTGTAGCTTAGAAACTACGACACTAAACACTCACAAAACTAAAAACAACCAAAACTAGAATTCTAAAGTACTAAATACAGAATACTTAAGTCCCAAACGAGAGAACATAATACAAGCGAAAGAAAACAAACAACTTAAACACACTTAACACACAAGCTACTAGAATAAACTCTCCTCACCTACCGGAAACCACTCTGTACCGCCAAGTCTCGAGCCAACTCTAATGCAATCAAACAAAAGGATAATTACACGACCAACGACCAAACAAGACGGATAAACCCCTTTACAGCTGACTCAACCCGAGTGGACAAACTCAAAAGTAAACCCAGATACAATACCTTAGACCGCCCAGAAGACCCGCTCCATTGTCTTCCCCCAACACGAAATCTGACAGCTGCAGCTCGAAGAGCAACCCCCGCCGAATAGACCCTTTGTTCCACCACCAAGAGCATTGGACTGGGAGAGGACCGAAGCGTAAGCCTCAACATCGACAGCTGAAAAGCAGCACCAGACCCCACTCGTCGTCGGCAAATCAACATCCTCCAACCACCGACCGCCATGACAACCGCGGTGGGCAAAAATCACGTGAAGAGGGAGAGGGACACTGAAATCCTATCGTGGAGAGCAGCACTCGACCAGGACTACCCAGGAGCCAGTTGAAGTTACGGGCGACGGAGCCCCGTCGAAGATGAGGCGAATCAACAATCAAACATCTATTGTAAGAATGTTTTTGTAGCTTAAGAGACATTTGATAAATATTATTTAATTTATATTGATAATATGAAGAGTGTCAGTTGAATTAAAAAATATAAAACACCTAACTCAATTGGTCAAAATCGATTAAAACTGGTTTTGTCTCATATCTACATGCGCTCTTATTTTTTTTTTATGATGCATGATTATAACTTCAATCAAAGTAGATCACATCTACTTACACAAACCTTTGAAAAAGATGAGGACATGATATGATATAGCCAAATTTTATTATGTTTTGGATAGACCTAAGTGATTGGGTGTTCAAACATTCAAAGAAAAAAGGTAAACCTTCCACTAAAATTGTCCCTCAAATTTGAGAAGACGATAAAATATTAGATTGATTAAGAGAGCGTTAATTAAGCACCACACTGTATTATTGATGTCAGAATTATTATTATTATTATTATAAATTGTTGTATTTAATTATGTGACGTTAACGCATAAAATTAATTAAACAATCTAAAGTGAGTTTTGGTCCCACCAATTTAGAAGCCAAATTAACTGAAATTTGCTAATGGCCGCTTGATTAATTTGATGAGCAAACCCGAGTTCACTTAGTTAATGATAAAGCTAAAAATTAAAGATTTAAATATAATATTCTATAGTTCCACTTATCGACTTATTTTATTAACAAGCGATAATAAAAGTTGAGCTCGAGTTCGCCTCGACACATTTATATCTCTATGTATAATTTGATGATCGCTTGCATTGTCAAATTATTAGAATAAAACAATAATAATTACTATATTTAGAGACAGAAAATAAATCTTCTTAAATTGCCAATAAAATAGGATTTCGAGGTGAATAGTGCAATTTTTTCTTATATATTTGAAAAATGAGAAATAAATATGAAGATGCTTAGTGCTCAAGGCCCACTAACGTTTGAGAACCATTAAACTGTTAAACTAGGCTAATCCTTATAGCATATCCAATGGACTGTTATTTGTGTGATTGTGAAAGTTGTTCGCTAAAAAATTTATCGAGCAGTATTTTTTGTACTTCTATTGGTGATGAGATAGCATGAGAGAGACAAAATAATTCTAGAAGTCTTTCTACATGTGAAAGCACTTCTAGAATTGATGACTAATTTTTTTCTCTTTATTTATTTGTTTTATCTATAATTACAATATATAATTAGGTTAAGATAAAAGCTTAAACTGCCAAACACACGAGATGTATATCTTAAAAAAAAATACCTAATAAAAAAATACCAGATCTATATCTTAAAAAAAAACCTGATAAAAAATACCGGACTGATGTATATCTTAAAAAAATACCTGATAAAAAAATACCAAAGATGAATACAAAAAAAAAAAAAAAAAAAAAAAAAAAAAAAAAAAAAACAGATAATACAAAAAATACTAGATTAATACCAGTCCAAAATATATCTTAAAAAATACCTAATAAAAAAAATACCAGATGAATACAAAAAAAATAACAGATGATACAAAAAAAATACTAGATTAATACCGTCTAAAAAATAAATATACCTGATATAAAAAACCTGATGAATATCAATAAAGTTGTGGGTGGTACCTCAAAAAATAAATACGGGATTACAAGAATAATTTAAAAAAAAAAAACACTGGATTACAAGAATAATTTACCAAAAAAAACTATTTATCATGTATTACAAAAACAATTTATAGAGCCTAGGTTTTTTTTGCTGTTTCTATTTTAAACGAAAAAAAAACTCGTGTATCTCTATAGATATCTACCACTAGAGAATTACTTACCAACATGATATTTTATTCCTTCACGTGGACAGAAAGACCATCTATTCAATTGTCAATCCACGCCAACAATTAAGACTAGTCTTCAGTCATTCGACCGGTTACGAGCCGGCCCAACAATCCCAAAAGAAAATGGATTAATAGTGAAGTCTCTGTTGCTTACCAAAATCCGTGATTTTGCAGTGTATTCAATTATTCACGAGTGAAGATTGTTAACCAGGTATGCATCGTGAACTCAATTTTCTCAGTGAATCTTGTACCATCTGACGGACTTAGCTGAAGAACACGATGAATTAGAGTGTCGAAATCAGTGAAGTTTTTAATTTTACTGCACACTTAAGGTTCTTGACGATGTGCGCCGCAATTTAGCTTTTGTTGTATGAATATTTCGAAACTTTGATTTGTTTATTTTTTTGGGGATATGTTCGTTTACTTTGTTGTGGTTTATGGGTTCTGATTTCTTTTCAGTGTAGATCATTTTGTGTTAAGAAATTTTCAGTCCTTACCTTTTATATGCACTGGAAACTGTATTTGTTGGAAAAATGAGCATTCTTGCTATTTGAAACTTTGTTCTTTTCTAGTTAAGTTGAGGGGACAACCTATGAAATAGAAGGATTATGGATGTGAAGTCATTGGCAAAATCGAAAAGGGCTCATTCTCAAAATCACAGCAAAAGGCATCAACCACAACAATCATCAAAAACGCCTTCCGTTGGTTCAGACAGCAAGAAGCAGACAGGAAGGCAAGCTAAAGGGAAAACCCCACAGCCTCATGTCCCAAAACCACTCCCTTCAAATTGGGATAGATATGGTGAAAACCTCGGTTTGGATTCTGAAGAAGCCCTGACTAGCTCCAGTCAGCCGACAGAGTTTGTGTTGCCGAAAAGTAAAGGTGCAGATTATGCTCACTTAATTTCGGAGGCCAAAGATCAATCTCGATCAAGTCGGTCTACGGATGTTTCTCATTTGTTTGGTGATGTTATTAGTGGTATGTCTTCTGCCTTCAATTTAACATGGCGTGTTCAGTTTCTAAAGTTATGTGTTGCCTTTGATTTAATATGGCGTTTTCAGTTTCTAGAGTTTTCGGTTTTATGAAATCTAGACTTCTGCTTATGAATATTGGCGTTTTAGTGTTTTCAGTTAAGTGTCACCTAGAAGTTGTGGATGGAGATACCGTCGTATGAACAATAAGGTTAAATGATGCTTTATTGGTCATGTAAAAGATGCTTTTGTACTAGTGAACCAATTTCCATATTATTGGAATGAGGTCTCTTCCCCAAAAGCTTGTTAGCATCAGTAGGAGCATTGGTGATGGCTTGGGTTCTTTCTTCTCCCTTTCGTTTCTTTATATTTCTGTTAATTTTATTAAGTTTTAGTATCTCAAGAAATGCCTCTGTGATATTGTTGGTGCTTGGTTGAGTGTTTGTGGTAGCTGATAGCTTACTGGCTTCCAATAAGCACTTTGGTGTTACTTGTTAGAAACTTCTATTCAGTTGGAGAAATCCTTTCTGTCACCTTTCTCTATAGTCTATACAATATATTTTATTTTCTCCTGTAATACTCCAACATCCCCACGAATTCGTTATTCCTAAACGAGTCATGAAGGTATAACGGCCTTTGATGCACCAGCTGGATTAACTATCCTTGTTCAAGAGCCCCCCAGTCGAGCAGATTTGAGCAAATTCTTGATTTGAAGCGGTAGAAATTATTTAGTGAAAAACGCATTTATTACTGTTAATTTTACGCGACACACATATTGTAAATGAAATTCTATTTAATAATTAGTAATATGCTTCAGCAGTTATTCTTTTTATTATTATTATTATTATTATTATTATTATTATTATTATTATTATTATTATTATTATTGTTATTATTATTATTGTTATTATTATTATTATTATTATTTCTCATGTATATTATTTTTGTGAAATATTTTATTTGTCGCTTCTTTTTGGACCTTTTTTTTGTATGTATGTATTTCAATCATGTCTATATTGGTATAATAACATTTAACAGCTGGTCCAACGAGCTAAGTTACCAAACACTAATTTCATTAGCTATCGATTATCAGATGATTCTATTAGCTATTTAGCTGCCATCTATCGGATAATCAGCTCCTCCAAATCAGCTCAACCAAGCCAACTCATAACCTAAACAAAATGGAAAGATAGTTGTGATCGAAATACATTAGAGGTTAATGTGAACAACAGCAGATTTCTGGTAGGCAAAATGCGCATCAATGGCCAGGGGGTTTATGTCCAACTAGATGCCTGCCTTAACATAAATGTGCACTAGATGATTTTTTTTCTTACAGCTGGCTGCATAGAATTATACATATCATGACATGGCATTTATTGATATATTTGTGTCTTAGATTTTACTCGGGATTTTGGTCCAATGCTTCTTGCGGCCAAGGGGCAAAGCTTGCTTTCATGGGCTGACGATGACGATTTCGAGTTGGAAGGGAAAACAAGCACCAGTCATGAGGTGATTTTTTTTTTTTTTTTTTTCAGGCTAATTAATAGTCCCCGAGGTCATATAATCCCTCACCCAGCTATGAATGCTCCCATAGTTCTTTATAAGCATTAACTATCAAAAGAACTTGTAATCCTGATCTTATGTATAAATGTTACGCACATTATTTGATATATCGTGTCATGGCCAGAACTAAGACTTAATGCTCGATGACCTTTAGGATAAACTCAAACCAGCTGACACACAGGCCGCAGAATGAGTACTAAGCACTAAAACCAAAAATTTGACAATTCAACCTGTTTCTTGGCTCTATCCATATAATGTCAATTCTACTTTTATCTGATTTTTATGCCCATATATTGCATTTTATTATTACCTTGCTAGTTCTCGTAATAGCTTATCATGTATAAATATCCAGTGCCAAACTAGTCCTGCAACATTTGATGATTTACATGTGCAACTCTTGGACCAATACAACAGTTACCTATCTTCATATCAAAGAATGAATATAAGTATTCTATTATTGATTAGCTACCAGATAGGAATTACTGTAGCCGTAATTTTAGCATTGAACCTCCTCTAATCAGCCTCGGGAACTTTGGTGAAATCTGCAAACATTTTCCAGAATTTTATCATCGGTCAGTAGGACTACCATAACATGGATCGCTGCATTGTGATGATGCACACAAAAATAGTGCATATAAGATGTTGTTTATGATTCCCAGTTGTTTTAACTTTTGGCTGATAGCGTGTTGTGTGGTTCAGTGACATAATCCATCAACTTTGTCGTTTGAAATTGTTTACATAACTCTTGGTACTATTTTGTCAAGTATGTACAATTTTTTTGGCTTTTCATGTTTTCCGTTGGTATTTATGTGCACTCAATCTTTTCATGCAATATAAGTATTATCTTTGTTTATAATACGTTTTGTTGCTTGGCATGGTATCCATCACCTGCAATCACGTTTTTGTGTGTGTCTGCCTTTCATTCTTTTCATCTAATCTAGTTACATTTTTTTATTGTGCAGGCACCTTTTCTTTCACTTGATCTGAAAGCACTTTCTGAACAACTTGCAAAGGCAAAGCTGTCAGAGAGGTGTTTTCTAGAGCCGGATCTATTTCCTTCGGAGCTGGTATAGTAATTTCACCTTTAATTCTGCTAGTTATTTATCTCTGATTTAGTTTTAATGAGAGAGAGCAATCATACACATGGCTTTTCTGTTTTCTCACACATTATAAAGAATATCGATGGGTTTTGATTCTACTCCATGGTGTAAAACCTGGTTGTACATATATGCCTTTCCCTGGCCTCATCTATTCTAATGTTGATTTATGATGCCTGATTTCAAAATATTGTGGCAGTTGGACGAGTTACAAGCATGCGATGAAGACAAACATGATCCTAAAACTCGTACATCTGCAACCGAAACAAAATCCAGATTCTCATCTCCTCTCCATAACCAAGAATTTAGTCAAAACTATGGACCTTCATCGACCAGAGATCTTCTTGTACAAACCCCCGCACAAGCATTGGAAACTTTGAAGCAAGAAAACATTGGAATCTTGCAGTCACAAGACACAGCGAGAAGCATTTCACGAGAATCTATTCCAGAGCAGATATTTGTTCCCACTGCTAAAAGCCCATCGATATTTGAGGCGGCAAGTGCAGAAGCAGAACTAGATATGCTTTTAAGCTCTTTTGGGGAAACTGAGATTGTTGAGTCAATAGGTGGAAATGTGAAGAATCATGAGCATACACTGACATCGGCTAATATTGATGATGATATTGATAAACTACTTGAGGAGACATCTAATTTGACGGTTTTAGACGGTAGAAGGGGATCAAATGAGGTAAGTGCAATAGCTGATGATAGATCGTCCGCCTTGAATGCCGACTCTAAGTCTAAACTTTTGGACGATTTTGATTCGTGGTTGGATACAATTTGATTTTTCTGTGTTTAGATGATTTTGATTCATGGTTAGATACGATTTGATCTTACTGTTGCTATAGCTTGTTGTGATGATGTGATACAGGTTATCGGTTAATTTGTTAACCTCTGACATTGTAAGTGTTGATTTCTGTAAAACTCTGTTGCACATAAATCTGTGGTAAGTTTAGAACTTTGCTGATGGCCAAAAAAATAAATAAATAAATAAATGCATTTTGTTAATTTTTAGAGTATCTCTTGGGAGATTGGTCTATCAAGGAGAATGTCTAATTAATAAATTATGCCACAGAGAAATCTTGTGATGTGTAAATAAATTAGTCACTTGGGTCCATTGCTATAAAATTATTATTTAATAAAATTTGTCATAGTAACATTTTATTATAAATAAACTCAACATATTTACTATTCCAGACTCCTTGAAAAACAAGATAATCCAAGATTTAAGCACCGAAACACCTGCAAATCACCATCATAAATGAAAAGAAACAGAAACGGTGTTCCAAATATCGAAAGGATAGAGAATTTTTTCAGATGCCCACAAATTTGGTTCATCAAAGCATAATACTGAATCCACTACTCACTCATTACAGCATTGCTGCTCCAGTTTTATGTCTGAGACTCCCTTAACTTACCCCCAAAAGGTCTGGTCATCTTGAGCATTCAGTTTTTTCCACCTTTCAAGGACAGATCCTGAAGGTTCAACAAAAGCTCATCCGAGTTCAAGTACACCTTGTTGTTTGAAGAAGAAAGTGTGTGCGCAATTTCCCTGGATGCTTCGATTCTCCTGAGCGTGATAAAAGCCGGGTTGTTGGCAATAGCTTGACCAATCAGCTGGGCACTCTTGGCCTCTCCCTGGTTACCAAATCAGGAAAAAATTGAACTTTCAGAAAAAATTAAATATTAAGCTTCGAATTTTTCTGGAGGATTGGACCCCATACATATTGATTAACAAGATAATTGAACTTTACGTAGATGACTCGAAGTTTTACCTGAGCTCTAATAATTGCACTGCGCTTGTCTTGCTCGGCCTTTTCGACCACAAATTTGGCTCTCTCAGCTTCTTGTGCAGCTACCTGCTTAGCTTCTATGGCTGCAGTGAATTCCCTTCCAAAGGTCAGGCTGGTAATTGACACATCATCCAGTGCAATGTTGAAGAATGCAGCTCTCTCGGTCAATATTTTCCTGATTTCCCTACTGACATTCTGCATTATGCAAAGTGCCGTCAATATATTATCAACATTATTGGGTGATTTTGCAGTAATTCTTTACAAATGTAGGCCAATCATTTTAAGAAGCACCATAACATAACCTTCCCCAGGTAACCATATAATTTTCCCGATGAGCAGAAAAAATGTTCAGAAAATATAACACTTGCTGTGTAATCAAGCATACAACCACTCATTCTAGCGATTATTGCTCGGAAAAGAAATCAAGAGATCTTATTCCTTACCTCTCTCTGGGTAATGAGCTGACTTGCATTGTATTGAGCAACAACAGCTTTCAGAGTCTCGTGGATTATTGAAGGCAGGACTCTTTCGTTGTAGTTTTCACCAAGAGTTCGATAAATGGTGGGCAACTGGTCGGGTACAGGACGGGTGAGAACACGAAGACCAATCTTGACCTGTAAAAATGATGTAAGTGTAGATAATCAGGCTTACGGTACAGGAATAAATAAGATAAAGTATATACTGCTACCTGAGAAACCAAGCTCCATTAACAGACAAATCAAGCTAAATTAGTGTATGGATTGCATCTTCTATTCATCCCATTAAACAGTAGCCATTGCAATAAGATAAAGTTCAATAACTTCCTCAATAGAGAGGAAACAGTAAACACAAAGAAAAGGAGAAAGTGATATATTCATTTGGCATGTTCATGTTTTCTGAAACTTGTAAGAAAATTTCCTAAATGAAAAGCTTAAGTAGAATGCTGGAATAAGCAAAACCAGGTAGGTGGATGGACCATAACAGAATCTAGGCAAAAGTACTTGAAGTTTGCAACTGAATTACTTCCTGTACATTCTTTCATCGGCAACAGGACCTTTTAACACTTTACATGAGGATAATAAGTTAAGCAAACATATTAAATAATTGGTAATAAACATATGATAAGATACTCGCACAACATAAAGAGAGAATCAGCCTGATCTCCAAAGGCAATGTGAATGCAAGCAGGGCGGGGGTAGGGAGAGAGAGAAAGAGAGAGAGAGAGAGAGAGATTACCATCTGAAGGTCACGACTGCCTGATGTGCTCTCCACTAGATGTGGTCGAGCCCGGACATCATAAATGACAGGCCTTTCAAACCATGGGATCATTATGTGCGTCCCTTCAGGATACACCTGTAAGTTCGCAGCATACACTAAATAAATTATGAAGTCTTCATAAATACAGAGATTGGTTCATACTGAACAAACCATAAAAAAAACCACGAGTATTTAAGATGGGAAACTGATGTCAAGACTTTTCCTGCAAGAGCTGCAAATGTTAGGGTACAGTAAGTTTATTAACCAGTCTAACTAGTTCATACGGATCACCCATACATGTGTGCGTGTGTGTGTACAAATATGCGAGCTTGTGGTGTGGATAAATCTGCAGGACTTATCAATAACTTTTAACCAGCAACACAAGTACCATGGACAGAACTCAATCAAAAGAATTCTTATAAATATATTATTGCTCATTCATGACTGAAGTATGTAATCAGAAACAGAGTCAGTTTTTATGGCTCTCTGTCTTTCGTGCAGACACTGAAGTCAAAATGCTATTAGCTGATTCAGAAACATAACAGCCTTGTAAGAAAATATACTAAATGTATGATGGAGATTTCGAAAAGACACAACCTTATCTTTGATCCCAACAATACGGTTGAAAACAATAGCACGGTGTCCTCCCTCAACATTGTAGAGACTGTTAGAAACTCCATACACACCAAGCCCTGCAACAACTCCCAGTTTGATTAAGGCAGAGACCGCACCCCCGCCAGGCATCTTGGGAACATTGACATTCTTAAAATTCATCTTCTAAATCACTGCAAACTAGCACATGGTTGGTGACAAACATCACGTCAGTGTTCCATAAAATGATGCATTGCCATCTACAAATTAAAAGTTACGAGAGAAAATAAAATGACATAACCAATCAAACATAAACAAGAAGAAACCTATGAGTGGACTATCACATGCAGAAAACCGACTTCAACTAGGAATAGCATATGACAATTTGAGGGAAGTGGGTTCTAAATTAGACTAGACCTGTGCAACTGAAATGATCAATTTGTAAATATTTGAAGACCAGGGGTATATAAGGGGCTTCAAGAGGGTGGTTTCATAGTATGAAAGTTGTATTCTCAAGCTTAAATCTTCCACTTTCATATCTATAGAAGAAACTAAAACACTGAATGCAGATTGAGGTGAACTTGAATCAGAAATTTGGGTGGAGGAGATGGAAATACTGATGTCTCGAGTATTCCATCAGCTAAAGTTCAGATACCAACGCAAGCTAACCCTCGACGCCCTCGAATCCACCTCGATGCAAATAAATAGACACAAAAAAGCAGTAAATTAACGAAAGTTCATCCCCAACTATTCATAACAATGAAAAAAGCAAACAAAATATAACACTTAACCCCACAGAGATGTTTGCCCACCAAAAGGGCTTAAAGACCAACTAAAACGGACTAGATTACAATGCGCCTCAAACATTCAAGATTGCAGCCACCTCACGTACTCCTTTCTTAACCGGATAATGTTGAAATGCAAAGGAAAATGCAACTAAATTTTGTGAGCTTCAAACAACTAAGGAAAGGGAGAAATCACCTCAAAGAATCAAGAATATATGAAGTGGGCAGTAGAAGTTCAGAAAAGAGCGAATGAAAAGTGGATCTACATACCTTGATTGCGACGGACGAAGTTGAAAATGGTGGAGTATACAATAATACAAGATGAGAAGAGGGCAGAAGGGTTTTAGATGGAGAACTTGTAGAAGGGGTTAGTATTAGGGCTTTTCTTTCACTTTTTTTTTTTTCTTTTTCTTTTTACAATCTTTTATTTTATACATATTAATAATTGTGCAAGACCATATTCACAAGTGTTAATTAATAAGTTACACATAAAAATGTTTAAAAAATAAAATTCATGTTTTTCTTTAAATAGTTTAAACATGTATTATATGTTTACTAGTATTTGATCATGTGCATTTGCACAGATATAAAACACGTTTTTGTTTGTATTTATTAATTAGACATGTACTTTTATCATATAAAGTTATTATTTTTTCTTAAGTTATTTTTATCATTCAAAATTAATTGAGACTTAAATTTTATTTTAACCAAACAACGTTTACATTAGTAACATGAATAAAATAATTCATATATCTGTGGCATATATTAAGAAAATACACATAAATAAAACAATTATTGGTGTTTTTGATTTTTAGAAAAAAAAAATATGTGTCAATCATATTTTTCATCCAACAATGCAACTAAATATAGCGGTTACAGCTCTGAATGTGTCAATCAACTTTAAGTTCCAACATTAGCCGTTACACATTTGAATATTTTGATACCAATTTTATAATTAATTTAGTAACTGACTGAAAAAATAAAAAATAAAAATATATATTAAGGTGTAACGATTTTAACACATTAGTGAGTAGTTAATATAAAAAATGTAACTCCTTTTGGAGGGAGATGAAAATAGTTTTATTAAATGTTTTATTAAATGCATTAGCTAGTAATTATATATATATATATATATATATATATATATATATATATTCAAGAATATATTCATTATTCAATACTCACGCCCTAATTATTTAATAACTACAAATAAATACACTCGTGTATTAAATTTTAAAATTAATATGAAAATTTGTTATTGTATGACTTACCAGTGTTATAGTATAATTGTTTTTCTAACTTATACCAAATAATTACTTTAAATAAAAATATATTAATTGATAAATAATTTTATTTTATTTAATATTAATAAATAATTTTATTATCACTATAAAATAAATATAATTTATTTATTTAATACATATCATATGGATGTCAAATCGAAATTCATCAAGAGATGAATAATTTGATATATTATACATGTAACATTGATAAGAAATACAGAAGTTGTCAACTTTTAAATACATTTACAATTCAATTGTTACCATAGGAATTGTTTTTAAATACAATTATTATATCTAAAATGACCATAAATAATCAACATATTTATAAATACTCTGAACCTAATTAAAATCTAATCAAACCGAATACTGAAGCATGAAATTTGCCACATAAGATCTCAAAATGTAACTCTGTCAATTAGATTCAGCATATTCTTTAATTATATATATATATATATATATATATATATATATATATATATATAACATGATTAGTTTTTCTAATACATCTTATCAATGTTGTTACTCAATAAGTTTAACATATAAATTCATTTTAACTCATGAATATTGAATTATTTATTATGATCCATTGATAGTTTAAAAATAAAACAAAACAGATATAATTATTTTATTTTACAACAAAAATATAAATATTAAAGAAAACCATCAAAAGAATTTATTTTGCATATGCAATATTGACATCAAATAGAAATTTATTAAAAAAAATAATAATATAATCAATTTATATACCATACATAAAAATGTTCTAAAAAATAACAAAACCATTAAAATGTCAAATATATTTATAATTTAAGTTGGTCAAGTATTTTATAATTTCAAAATTCATAATCTTTATGGAGCTTAGGAGCGCGCCATAGTACCCAAATAATCGATCGACGAATTCAATTTCCTCGTCTAGAACCTCCTGGACTATCTTCAGGTAATTGGTTCTTAGGAGCGCGCCATTCAAGATCCTGAATTCCTACAGCAGTGCAACCACCGGACACCGGCTTCGCCTTATCCTCCAGCTGGCGAGTGAACAGGGTAGCGTCAGAGAGAGGAGGTAGTGGGTTGTGGAGATGCGGGCGATGAGGAGACATGTG